AGTGCTTAATATACCATTTTTAATCATTACAATGCTCCTGGGGACAATGCCTTTTACTCTCAGTTTATAGTTAAAACAAAACAAAACAAAAACAGTGAATTCAGAAAGATGGGAAGAGTAGAGTCTGGATTTGAACTGAGGTAAATCCCACTGAAAAGACTAAGTTAAGTTCCTTTGCTCTTCTTTGTTCTATGCTTTTTAAAAATGAGGCCAGGGTCTCCAACTCAACTCAAAAGTTCCACAGTTTTAAGTTATTGTGCTGGACCCATATTAACTAATACATATTATAACGCAGTGATGGCAAACCTTTTACAGACAGAGTGCCCAAACTGCAATCCCAAACCCAATTATTTATTGCAGACTGCTAACAGCAATGAATACTGAGGCTTTAGCTTGGAAAAAGTAGCTTATACATTAAAACAGAAACACAATTACAGAGCTTTCAGTGATACAAACAGTCTGCTGTGACACTCATGCCATAGCTTTGCCATCACTGTTCTAAGTCCATATATCAGACAGAGTGCCCAAACTGCAATCCCAAACCCAATTATTTATTGCAGACTGCTAACAGCAATGAATACTGAGGCTTTAGCTTGGAAAAAGTAGCTTATACATTAAAACAGAAACACAATTACAGAGCTTTCAGTGATACAAACAGTCTGCTGTGACACTCATGCCATAGCTTTGCCATCACTGTTCTAAGTCCGTATAATTTTGTTTTGTTTTGCTTTTTGAGACAGGGTCTCACTATGTAGTTGAGACTGACCTGGAACTCACTATGTAGCCCAGGCTGGTCTCGAATTCACAGCGATCCTTTTGCCTCAGCCTCCGGAGTGCTGGAATTACAGGTGTGTGCCACCATGCCCAACATCTTATAATGTTTTTGAAACAGCTTTATAGAGGTATAATTGACACACAGTAAACCACCCATTTAATATGTATCTTTTGGTGAGTTTAGATCTATTATAAAAGTGTGAAACTATCATCAAGATCAGGGTAATGAATATACACTTACTCTCTAAAGTTTCTTTTTCCCTTTTTAAATCTTTCCTTCCACATTCAAAAGCGACCACTCATGCCCCTTGTATCATTATAAATTAGTTTATTTTTTTCTTGAAGTTTTAAAAGAGAAAAGTTTGTTGCTCATTGTGATTTAATTTTTATATCCCTGGAGAGTGAACGCATTAGGCAAATACCATGTGCTTATTCACGATTTATACATCTTCTTTGGGGAAATGTTTGCTTTAACTGAATTTTTGTTAGTGGAATTTTGAGAAGTCTTTATATATTCTGAGTAAGACATTTGCTAGGTATATGATATAAAATTACGTCCTTTCAATTTGTGGCCCATAAAGTCTTACAGAGCACAAGTTTTTAACTTTAATGAAATTTGATTCACCAATTCATTCTTTTATGATTATAATTATATCTTTTTTTTTTTCTTGCCTAACCCAAGGTCCCAAAGCCTTTCCTGTAGAAATTTTATAGCTGCAGTTTTTATAAAGGTTCACAATCCATTTGGGGTGAATTTTTGTATATGAGTCAAAATTTACTTTTTCTTTGCATATGGATATCTAATTTCCTAACACTGTTTATTGAGGAGTCTGTCATTTCATTAATTAATTGCCTTTACAAATATGTAAAGACTTAGTTAGAAGTATTTCTAGAGATCATTTGTGGACTATTTTGTTCTATTCATCTCTTTATCTTTTCATCAATTACCAAATTGTCTTGATTATGATAGCTTGAAATGACGTAGCAGTAGTCTTCTAATTTTTCTTTTTCAAAGTTGCTTTGAGTATTTTTAGGTCCATATAATTTTTCTCTGAATCTTATTAGCTATTTGTCAAGTTCTGCAATAAATCCTGCTGAGGTTTCATTAGGAATATATTAAATTTTTAGATGAATTTGAGAGGAATTGACCTTGTAACAATATTGACCTTTAAAACCCATGAACATGGTAATTTTCTTTGTTTTAAAATCTTCTTTGTCTGATACTCAGCTTTATTTTGATTTTATGTTAACATGGAGTAACTTTTCTATTCCTTTAATTTTATTTTATTTGTGACTTTATACTGAGAATTTCCACTTTTTAAGTGGGATTACTTAGGGCATCAATATTTAGGATGCATATTTGTATATTTAGATTTAATTCTATAATCTTGCTATTTGCTTTCTATTTACTTTATCTGTTGTTTATTACTTTTTTCCTTTTATCTGCCTTTTCTGTAAATTGACTTTTTAGATTTTATTTACTCTTTTTGTTAAACACTGTCCTTTTTATTTTAACAATGATTTAAGGTTAATGGGATACACCTTAATTTATATTTTGTCTATGATGAAGCCATGTTGTATCACTTCATGTATAGTATAAAATCTTATAATAATGCAATTCCACTTCCCTTCAGACCTTTTTTATCATTGCCATGTATTTTATTTAAGCTCTGTGCTCTTTTGTTATTTGGATTTATACAATTATGTTAAAAAAGAAGTTTATATAATAATTAGAAGCATATTTACCCTTGTAGTTACAATTTCCCGTACTCTTCCTTCCATTATGTAGGCATCTTTTGTATCTGGTATAATTTCTCTTCACTCTGAAGGATTTTTATATTTTCTTGTCAATGGGAAATTGGCTTTTAATTTGTCTTTATTCCTTTTATATATATAACATGTCTTTCCTATGGCTGCTTTCAATACTTTTTTCTTTATTATTATTTTGAGAAATTTAATTATGGTAGGTTTAGTATACTTCTTTTGGTGTTTCTTGTGCTTAGTGTTCTGTGGATTACTTTCATCAGTGGACTTATTGTTTTCAATCAAATTTGGAAAGAATATGGCCATTATTTCTCTAATTTTTTTTTCTGGCTGAGAATCTACTCCAATTGTATTTTCTTCCTTTTTTTTTTGTTTTTGTTTTTTGTTTTTTGTTTTTGTTTTTTGTTTTTGTTTTTTGGAGACAGGGTCTCACTATGTAGTTGAGACTGACCTGGAACTCACTATGTAGTGCATGCTCGTCTAGAACTCACAGCGATCCTCCTGACTCAGCCTCCTGAGTTCTGGGATTACAGGTGTGTGCCACCATGGCCAGCTTGTATTTCCTTCCTTCCTTCCTTCCCTCCCTCCCTCTTTCCTTCCCTTCCCTTTCCTCCCTCCTTCCTTCCTTCCTTTTTTTCATCAGGGATCCAACTCAGGGCCTTGTGCAGGCAGCGGCACCACTGAGCTAAATCCCCAGCCCTGTACTCTTTCTTTGGTATTGAGAGTTGAACCCAGGGGCTCATGCCTGCTAGGAAGGTATTGTATCACTGAATTAAATTCACAGCTCTGTAATTATATTCTTAAAAATGTCTTACAGCTAGTTGATGCTTTGCTCATTTTTAAATTCTCTTTTCTGTCTGAATTTTCTTTTTCATAGTTTTATTACTTTTTCTACAAGGTCAGCAACTTTCTGAAATTTAGAATCCAATACTATATTCAGTGGACTTTTCATTAAACACATTGTAATATGTATCTCTACAAGTTCGATTTAGGTTTCTTTATTCCTAAGGTTTTTGTATACTGATTATCTGTTAGAGTTGCTAATTTTTCTGTCCATAGTAAGTCATAGTTTTTGCACTTTTTCATGCCTGATTTTTTTTTTTTTTTTTTTTTTTTTTGTACTGGGGATCGAACTTGGTACCTTTTGCTTGCAAGGCAGGTGGAGGAAATGCTTGATGATTTTTGATTGGATGTCAATCCTCGTGAAGTTTAGCTTGTTACTTAAAATTACTATTAAACTTAGTAAGTACTAATTAACTGATTACTGGTAACTTACTAGTTAGTATTAAGCTTTTTAACATTTATCTATTTCAAAGTAGAGTCTTAAATATATTCACTTTCCAGTCACTGGGTCATAACAGCTAACACTCATGACTTAAAGGAGAAGAGGGTTATTTTGGCTCATAGTCTCAGTCCAGGCTTCAAAGCAGAAATGGCGCAGTGGAAGGGAGTGGTGGAGGAAGGTTGTTCAACCCGTGGCAGCCGGGAAGCAGAGAGCAAAGCGAGGAGCCAGGGCAGGGATATCCCCCAAGTGATCCACCTCTGCTGACCAGGCCCAATGTCCTACCAGTACTTTCAGCTATGAACTCGCAGTGCACACAGCACGCCGTATTCCCACCAGCCAATAACCTCCCCAAAGCCCAGCCTTTGAAGACATGGAAATTTTGGATGATATTTTAGATCTGAATAATAACACTCAGTGTGACACTTTTTAGTCTGTTGTTTTCATTTTGCTTGCCAGACGGGTCTGGAACAGTGCTCAGTCTATGACTTATTATTCCTTGGTACCAAGGCAAGACCTTTTTGTGTACCCTGCCAAATGCATTGTGAGTTCTAAGGTATTCCAAGATGTCTGCACAAACAGGTCCTATTTCTGCCTATGAGCTCTGGACACTATTAACTCTATTCCGTTCACATGATTCTTTCCTTGAAAATCTACTTTTCTCATACATACTCACAGGTAGATAATCATTGGAAGTTCTAGGGCAGCCCTAGTCAATTTTGGAAGCTCTCTATTTTTGGACTCAGAGGCTGAGATTATGCAGGAAAGTGGGACTTGAGAGAATGAGGGTGCTTTCTTTAAGTGGAGAGAAGACAGAAGTATGTTCAGGCAGGAGAATTTCCAGAAAATAACATATAAAGAACTACCTAAGTAAAAGAAACGGTCCAAGAGAGTGAGAGAACTCATTCATTTTAAACAGAAGTGTTTTCTTGTGGTATGGAAGAATGCAGTCCTTTTGGAAAAATGGGCCAGTGCCTCATATGGACATTTGACTCAGAGCAATGAAGGCTGGAAGCAAGTTCATCTATTTAACTCACATGTTTAAGGTTTTTCCTGTGTTAAAGAGTACTCAATAGTGGGTAGACAGAGGTACCTGGTTCTGTCTGAAGGAGCTCATTTTTGCAGGCGCTATACAAGTGGAACAAAGCACAGAGTCAAAAGTTTTTGCTTTATTTCTTAGGGAGCAGGAATCCATGGACTGCTTATGCACAGAGGCCTGATGAGATGAAAGCTATGGTTTCGGAAGAATTTACACGTTGGGTGTTACACATATGAGGTCAGTAACAGAGTGGAGAAATCAGCGGGAAGAACATTTCAGGACTGGACTTGAAAGGCTGAACTGAAGGCAGTGGGGATGAACCAGAAGGGATAAGTACCAAGGAAGAAGATGGACTGGATTTGCAAGAGTTTGTATGCAAGGTGAAGACAGGGAGCAGCACAGGATTACTTGAAGGCTTTGAGGAGGCTTGATTGATGGAGTGCTGATACCAGAAATAGAAATGACAGAAGAGGAACTTGCTTCAGAGTGAAGATGACAAATTTATTTTTAGGTGTTTGAATTTTGAAGTGACATGGCATACCAAGCTAGATATGTACATCTGTTGGTTGAAAATATGGAACTGTGAAGGGAGTTCAGGGCTCAGGATATAGATTTGAGGGGTCATTGAATAAAATTAAAGATCACTTTATTCATTTGCCATGTGATTAGTATCAACATCTTTTCAGACGCTGACCTTGGCATTGGAATGCATAGAACAGAGGCATGCCCTCTATCTTCCAGGAGTGGATAAACTGGAGATAACTTCTAGCACTGTATCACATGCCTACCAATCCTAACAGTCAGGAGGCTGAAGCAGGAGGATCCCAAGATTGAGCCGTCAGCTCAGGTAACTTAGTGACCTAGTGAGAACTGTCTCAAAATAAAAAAGAAAGGAAGGAAAAAAGGCTGGGTATATTGCTCAGTGTGAAGGCCCTGGTTTCAACTCTCAGTACTAAAAAAAAAAAAAAAAAAAAAAAGGAATGGGGGAGAGGGGGAAAGTTCTGATAACTGGTGAGAAACAGGCAAAATCAGAAAATCACGAATAGACCCCACTATCAATACTTCTGCAACACTAGGTATATAATGCAAAACTATTTTAAGGAAAATTAGCACAAAAAATAAGAATTAAGTCCCTCAAGGGACTGAATATAATTTAAATCATTGATCATTAAACTTGAATCATTAAACATTTTCTAAACTATATTTGTCCTTAATTCTTGCCTCTTTTGCTACTACTACACTTTATCATCTCATGGTCTCATGACAGAGAGTTTCCTAAGCTGGAAATCCTCTATGCTCTCGCTTAGTTAGCTGATTTTCTGTGTGGTTGTGGCACCTGTTCTCCCTCTATGTGAAGGGGCAGATGGCTGAGTCAGACGCTGGTGACGAGCGGGGGGGTGGGCAGCCTGTGTCTCACATGGGGGCTGTCGGTGGCTGGATGACACCTGGCCAACAGCCCACGCACCTGAAGAGGCTCTTCTTGCCCACTTTCAGGTCCAACGGGCTTATTGCCCTGTTGTCTACTTTCATGTAGATCTTTTTCTTTTTATTTCTCTTTCGCAGTCTTATACCCAGAGTTTTTCAGTAGTATGAATTGTCTGGTGAAATTGATGTTAAAATTATATTCCTAGAGCACTTTGTAGTGTGTAGTCTTTCATATATTTCATATACTCATTTGATCCTCAAAAAATAATCCTATAAAAATCACTTTGTGCTATATAATATATAGAAAACACACTGAGATGAAAAGAAACCCAAACAACTGTTGGTCTTTATCAAGACTATTCAGTAAGAAATTTGTGGCTGAACTGCATTATCTGAATTCAATTCTGGGCTAACAGTAGAGATTAGAGAAAAGTATGTAAAGACTCTATACTACATAATTTTTGAAGATATCAAAGCTGTTCAACAAGACATGAACATAGGTATTATTTTTTAAAATTACATTTAAAATATTTAAGTATTTAGAAAATAAAACAAACCAAAATAAGTGTTTTGAAATTTAACTCCATTTTGGCTTTACGTTTAGAATTTAATCTTTTAGTGTTGGTGGCAAGCTTAGGTTCATACATTCTCCATCCTCCTTGTAATCAGCACTAAATTCTCAGACCAAAAATAAATCAGGATATACGTCTGGCAAATCTAGATACCTGTGTGGATTTAGAAGCATGTTTAGAATATAACTGAAGTGCCATACTAGAAATCATTAGTGGGTAGAGAACAAGCCAGATCAAAGCTAAGATTCATTACTATATAATATTTTTATTCCATCATCAAAATATTCCAAACACCATCAAATCATTAATTTATTCTTAGTAAGTATAGTCTGGGAGAGATTAGAGTTATAATCATTATTTCCTAATAATATAAGAAGAATACCAAATTTCTATCTGATATTTACCATTTTACTGAAGAGCTCGGTGTTTTTTCTTATATGTTAAAAAAAAAACATGAGCTGTTTTTGACACAAATTACAAACACATAATAATATTTCTGGGATATATTTCAGTCTCTAGTTTATGTGTCTTAGAATGAAATAATAGATTCAAAAGAAAACATTCTAGTTTAGCCTCAAATTAAGAACAAGTAACTATAAACAAAGTGCTTGATTAATGAAAATAAGCAGCACATATGGGCTTCTGCTGCAGATGTTATACCCTGGAGTATGCCTTGATTTCTTTTCAACTAAAGATAGTAGCAAAATCCAATAGATGTGGAATAATATATGAGGATCAAATGAGTATATGAGTCACACTGGAATGAATGAACTCTATGTATAAATAAGAACAAGAGTAATTTCAAGAAGACTTTTCTAACCACTAAAACTAACAAGAGTTGGTCCTATCACTTTTGGTTTTAAAACAGCAACTTCCCCCCAACCTGCTGATTCCCCCTTTTCCCCACTGTTTAGGTGCTTTGTTTTTCTACATAGTGCTGCACACATGTATGTGCTGCTTCTGGTAGGAAGAGAAAAGAATGGTATTTTATTGAGCACTTGATATGTGCTATACTCTTACATTCAGTATCTATATAGTTTAAGAAAACACACAAGCCCCAATATTTGCATTATTTCTGAAATGTACAGCTCTACTTTTTCTAGATTATGAGAACTTGTAATCCTTACCATAACCTTTTCTTTTGCAAACCTTCATTGAACTCCTACTTTGAATCCAAATTGGTATCATTTTCTTTATTCTAAAGGAAACACCGAGAGAAGCCAGTTCCCGTGCATGACAGCACGGTGAGGATTTAAATCTGGGCTTTCTGATTTTTCAAGACTAATTTGAATACAAACTGTGGGGAAACTATGTCCCCTCCATGAGCTATCCTGGCTGTACCAGGAGTGTTGTTTCCTCCTCTGCCCATGGGCCAATAAGTAGAGGGGAAGAGGAAATCTGTAGGGGTAAGGTAGCCCAGGGGGATCTGATTACAGACACTGTTTCTAAACAGTGAAATCCTCACAGACCCAATTCTCCATTAAGATGTTTATATTTTTAAAAAGAAATTTGTTAGCTGTAAATATGCAGGGGATGTCCCATTCCTTTAAAAATAATGTTTTGTTACAAAGAGGATCAGGGCTGTAGTAGGAAAGAGGTGTGGATACTTTACAGTGACAACCATGGGTTCAGACTTCACACAAGACCTTTGGTACTGAAGGGAACTGAGAAAGACCTATGCATCACTGGTACTAGTGCAGAAAACATCAACTATTTTTGATGGTTGAGTTTTACTGGTGGGTTGGTAGCTCCAACCAATCAAATTTATCTTGAAGTCTGGCTTACTTTCAGTAGTACTTACTTACAGTAGTTACCTTCTATTCATGTTGGATGTGTTCTATAAACCCTAAGATAATACTTAGGGTAGTACCAAACCCTATATATACCAATATTTTTCCCCCTGCATTCATATCTATGCTAAAGTTTAATTTATAAATTAGGTACAATAAGAGACTAACTGTATTGTTTAGCTTTCTGTTGCTGAGACAAAATATCAGACATATACAGATTTCAGGCAGTAGATTGGCTTTTTTCTGGGAGCAAAGGGAAACAAAGACATTGGTTTGTGGAAATCTCACTTTTTAACAACTAAAGGAGGAAGAGTTTACTCTGACTCATGATTTCAAGAGGGACTAGTCCATGACTAGTTACAAAGCAGAAACATCATGGTGAAAGGGTGTGACAGAGGAAAGCTGCTCAACTCATGGAAGCCAGGAGACACAGGGAAAGAAGCAGAAAGGAAGGAAATAAGAACCAGATATAGTCTTCAAGATTATGCCAGGAGGATCCAGCCACATACACCTAGAAGTGTGCTTTAGTAATCCTCTGGGTGTCTCTTAAGCCAATCCGGTTGACGATCAAGATTAGCCATCTTGATTTATCATATGAACAATAATAATTGATAACAAAATAGAATAATGTATCTCAATAAATGTTTTGTGAATGTGGAATCTCAATCTCTCTCTCTTATGGTGATGATGTGATATGATACTTAAATGCCTTATGGCTTGTCTTACTATGTCCAGAATTCCAGCCTTGCTATATGCGTTTTAGGGCTATTATTAAGTAAGCCCTATAGAAGAAGTCTACATATATAAGCCCTATAGAAGTTTTTTTCCCTGAATATCTTCTTTTGTCTCCTACAAAAGTGAGATTAGAAAATATAGTCAGTTTGTGGTACTTTCCACTGAAGGGTTCATACACTTACCTCTACAAGGGCATAAGGTACCACATGAATAGCTTTAAATGATCAGATGTCTCAGATGAACTCTGGGCAGATACAGCTTTCATTCCATTCCTGCTGCCAGTGCCTTCACTAGGCAATCATATTCTAAACTGTAGATGCAGTAAACATAAATTTGGATTGAAAAGGCCATGGGTGCCATTAACTCTATTGCCTTGTGTTTCTCACAGTCCTCGATTTATTTTGATATTTTAATTTCTACTAGTTTAGACATTGGCTTACAAAGAAAGTGGCAGACCTCTGGATCTCCCTTCTGTATCTCATAACTCTCCCTTTAGATCTTTACGTTCTTGCCAGAGGGAGTACCACAGAAATCTTTTCCCTGGTCCCAGTGTGTAAAATGAAATGCTGAGTCCCTACAATACTGAAAGGCAACAGCAAGGGAAATGGTCATTTCTAAGTACAGGTTGGGTCTGGGGTTTGGCTGTGGTGAAAGACAGATGTTTTATTTAACTACTGTTGGGTAACAAACCACTGTAAAATTTAGTGTAAAATAACGATTTATTATCTCGTGGTTCTATGGGATGACTAGTAGTAGGCTCTCTTGCATTTGTAGTCAGATGGAGGCTGCAGCTGCGTCACCTAAAGGCCTTGCACATTGAAGATTATATCTCTGGCAGTCCTCTAAGAGAGTTGGATGAGCTAGGACAGGCCTGGGATGTCTTTCCACCATTTAGCCCCTCGATCTGGCTCTGGATTATTCAAAGCAGATGAGCTCAGCGTTGTCAGACTTTATATAGTGATGAGTTTTCCTTGGACCGACAAGTTCTAGAAACCAAGAGGTGAGTTGCAAAGAAGTATTTTCACAGTCTGGCTTCTGGAGTCATGTGACACAGCTTCTACCACATTTTACTGGCCAACAGCAAGTCACAAATTCAAGGGGAGGGCATCTGTACAAGGATATGAATCCAGGTAGGACAT